TCTTGTTGCACTTTACTTCCTAGAAGCAGGTTTTACAGGGATGCACTGGTGATGACCGTGAACACCTCAGTCACTATGCCTTGTTATTTATGCCTCTGTGCTGGACGCACCACAGCTCTATTCACAAGTAGACCTTCTCAGAAAACGTTTTACTGTATTTCTTCCTTCGGGTGTCAGAAGCTGCAATATTTGTTTTGACTCTCTGGAAAATGGGGAAGCCACTCAGCAGACCAGACTGTTTACGTCAGAACCCTCCATGTGTCGGGAAGGGTGAGGAGGAAGAGGACCTGAACATTGAGGACTGTTACGTCCCACAGCGGTCGATCTATGACACAGTTAGACTAAACGAACAGATCGACTCAGGTTCCAAAGGGAGCCTGTCATCCAGGCATTTTACAGAGCGGACTTTGCCCTACAGTCACCGGACACTGGATGGTAGTTCTTTGTGCTCCAATGGTGCCCTTTCCTCTTCCAGTATATTCGAGCTGAGAGGCCGGGAAGCTAACAAACTAGATGAAAAGGCGATCTTTGATGCCCTCAAACTCAATAGTGACGTCATTCGAAACACCGGTCCCCCCAAACCCAAGTCTCAAGCAGAAAAGAGAGAGCACAGGAGGTCATGGCGGATGTTTGTTCCAGCCAATTTTATGGACCATGCAAACAAAAGTGAAAGTCCTTTTGTTGAACCTACTGACACGTCAGATGCTGTTACCAAGGCCAGCAAGTGCAGATGGGGCACTAATTCTCAGACTTCAGAGGAAGATGACTCCGGTTTGTGTAGTCCCCCCGCAGAGAAGGAAGAAAAACGGGGCACTTTAAGTGGAGACCAGCCACAGATTAGAAGCCTGTCTTCTGCTGAAGATATTCACATATCAGAGCAATATAGGCCACTTTTTTCTGCTAACTCCATCAGTGAGCAGAAGATCCCCCTGCTTTCATGTCGAAGTCCCCACCCCGATGACAATGCCCAGGTGATTCTGCAGGATGTTTCTTCACCCCAGGGGAACAAATGTGTGAATGGTCCAAGGGCGCTCCATGGTGAAGATGGTTGTGTGCAGAGCCAGTTGAGAGAGAATACAAAGTGCCAGGCATTAGTCCCGCCTCGAGGTGAAGAACACGAGTGGACTTCCCACTCTGAAGAAGAGGAGACAGCTTTCAGACAAGGGGAGTCCCAAATCACGGCACACAGTAGGGAATGTAGGAAGGAACCCCTTCAGGGTTTAGAACTCTCTCCCACAGACCTAGCAGAGCGGCATGTAGACTTGGGTAACACAGGTTTGCTAGAAAATGTGATACCGTTGACCCAGTATGATTCAGCCGAACGCAACATGGCATCCAAGGGTGACGTAGAGGCCCCCTTTTCTGCCCAGGAGATGGGGGTGACCCAGAAGAAAGGCTCCCGCCAACTCACACCAGTAAAAAAGAAAACAGGGCCCAGAAAAACGGGGGTCCAGGCAGGAACATTGGACCCGGTCTGCAATGGCCTCCAGTTGGCCCAGGTAATTAACGGAATTGGAAAACCACAGCGGCAGCTGCCTGTGGTTCTGTTTCAGACTGGTCAAGAATGATTGTGGTAATGATCAAATTCGGTCACTCATTTGAGGGCTTTGATTAGCACCCTGCCAGATGCCAGCAACTGATAAATCCATCGGTGTAACAAATTAATTAGGGATCGTTGGGGAATGATCATTCCCAGATGTTGGGGGAGGGGGGGTGGCTGTGGGGATACAGACAGTGGCTGTTGCAGTCCATTCAGAATTCCCCCACTGTTAATGTAGGTTAATGTTCCGTTTCTGCACACATTGCGGGTTCAGATAGTGCCGTTTAAGGGCAGTTGTTTTGAGGCTATTAAGCAGCAACAGGCTGTCATAAAGGTACAGACACAGTAGTACATTGTTGTGGTCTGCAGAGCACCCCACCCACCAGCTTCCAGGGGCCCTGTGTGGGAGGGGAGAGGAGCCGGTGTGGTTGTGCAGGCCTCACAGACCCTCGCTCTTCAGGGCTGCAGATGAGGTAAGACAGTAAAGGGTGCAGCCTTGTAATAAGTGGAGCTTGTCCATCAAGCCTGTAATTTTTGTCTTCCCACTCAGATTCAAGGTGGCTATTTTGGTGCTTCCCCTAAGCTCTTCTGGTAAACTTGGCCTCGGAGTTAACTTCATTTTATTTTAGGGCTCTCTGTGTTTGTGTGCTATGAGAGGGGAGGGGGAGGTGTGGGGGTGGGAGGGGCAGGTCTTTATGGGTATTTGTTAGCACTCGGAGATAAGGAAACTAAACATACCAGAAGCACTGCGTGTTCCGTGCCCCAGTGTCCACACCTTTCCTTGAGCCTACAGCAACTGCTCTGCTCATTCAAAGGTTTAGCAAAAGACCTTTTCCCTGTAAAGGATTTCATAGCTGATGTGTCAAGTTGGCTTTTCCCCCTAACTCAGCTGTTGGTGCGGTCATCTTGAAGAATATTGGAGAATGATCACAGACTCATGTAGACCTGCTCTGATCACAAACCCTTGATTTAACCAAGATCAGGGTTGCAGACGGTTTACTAGAACATTATATCAGTAAGGTTTTTTTGTCCTGAAAACAGAGAGAAGTAAAAGTTTTTCCCTGAAACATTTTATAACATTCAAGAGTGCAGGCGTTTTCTTGACCCTGTGAGTATTTTTTTGTTGAACATCCCCTTACTTAGCTTCTGGAAGTGCTAAGTAACTTAGAATGTTCTGTAGAAAAGAAACAGAATCGCAGTGCCCTGTTGCAGCTTTCTGTTGACATACTTAGCAAGTCACACCTTTTTTGAGGCTTAGGAGAACGTGACAGTGACGTTTTCTCCGCACTGATTGGGTATCTGCTGCTGTCTGCAGTATGTGTTTCTTAGAGCTGCTAATTGACATAGAACTCCTTAGCCAGCACAGAAGTGTCTCTCTGCATTTCCAGTGGAAAAAGCAGCTTGAACTTTTTGTTAACGGGGACGTTCAGAGGAAACAATGGCTCGTTTGTTTGCTGTTGCCCATGCATTCGCTCTTACAGCTAACACAGAATTATCCTGTGTGCTCAGCACCCGGCCAGGGCTGGGGAATTGTCTCCTTGGCCCCAACATCCTTCACAGTCATTTTCACACTTTATCTATAATTTTCTCCTGAAGTGCTCTTTTAATGTATCTGCCTTTCTTATGTTTCCATATGTTCTGTTTATCCAGCCATTAATTACTTTTTTTGGCGTCCTTCAGTGTAATGACTCAGAATCCCAAACCTTATACTTCCTTAATATCTGTGTAAAATTTTCATCAGTGAGTTAAAAATAATTGATTTTTTCCCTCATAGCATTCTCCAAGCCCGACACTATAAATATTAATATTACCTGTTTAAAAAAATGGTGTGTTACCGTCATTGTTCGATACTGCCCATCAATCTGCTGTTTCTGTGAATTTGTATTTTAATCTAATATAGAACATCTTTTATAAACCACAAGCAGCTGGGGGGTCGACCGTATGTTGGGTAGGATGGACAGCGGGGAGAGAGTGCTAGGAAAGTGGTGACAGCAGATTGATGGGTAGTATGGAACAGAGAGAACCATCGCCAGTGTGGGGGTCCAGATCCAGGGATGAGGGGCCGTGGGGGGGGGGGTTGTCATTTCAGTCATGCCTGTCTTGACAATCTTTCCTGTGCCTTTGGTGTAGAGCTCTTCTCCTCGGTCTCTACTGTCATTAGAAGACTTGGTCATTTCATGGTGTCCCAAGGCTTTCTCCTGTTCAGTCGTTGACTTCTATTGAATGATTAATTCCTCCACCTTGTCCTCAGGAACTCCTACTCTGTCTTCTACACGTTCCATTCTGTGGGCAAGGCTTCCCATTAAGATGTCTTAATTTGGTTTATTGATTTGTTTGTTTTTTCCTAGCATCATTTCAATTTGAGTTTTCTGCAGCAATTCTATGTCTCTGTTAGATTCTGTTATCGTATTTTCTGTTATCATAGATTCTGTTATCATAATTTCTTCATTCGGATCTTTGTTTTTGTACTTTTGGGGTACATCATATCCTCTCTGAGTTGTTTGAACGTAGTTTAACCGTTCTTTCAAATTCTTTGACTGTGGGTTCTTCCAGGCTGTTCCCATTGGAAGCCATTACATACGGACTGGCCGTCCTGGGAAGAGACGTGTCATCCTGGTTTTTCACATTATCCTTGTTTCTGTACCAGAACTTGTACACCTGAAGTTATCTGGCGAACTGAGTTTTCCTTTCGTATTTTATGATTAAAATTCAAGTACCCCTTCTTTCAATGGAGATGTTTACAGTGTTCAGGAGAGGACTATGTCATAGTAGGCGTGAGGTGTAATTTTCCTCTGGGCAACTGAGATTCAAGGCCAGAGGCCCTAGCCCTACCCTTTCTCTTCAGGTCAGGTTCTAGGTTTGCCTCCTCTCTGCCACTGGCAGCCATGAAACACCCTGTGCCTATGGGTCTTACATGTCACCTTGGGCGTTCCCCTGTGGTAGTTGTAGAACCCCCGTGTGCCCTGTGTCCACATGCCTCTGCCTTCTCCACTCGCTGCTCTTGTATTTGGGCCCTTTGGGTCGGCATGCCCTTGGCCTCTTGACCTACTTTGCTGTCTTGCCAGTGAGTCTCCCCTTGTAACTTGAGTCTCAAGCTTCAGTTGCCCCCGTGAGGATTCCTTGACTCCAAAGGGGCATCTTATCCTTTGCTCCTTAGCATTTTTTTTAATCTATTTTTTTTCATAGAGTTAAATTATGCTGATAGGAAATTCCATTATACTTATCTTGGTTTTGTAAGTGACCTTATGAAATGTATGTATGTAAGATCTATTGTTAGGTGCCACAAATTTGTATTTCATACTCACAAAATAATAGTAAGCCATGTCTCGGTAACAGTGGTTCCCTTCACTTGAGTGACACTTGCTAGCTTCTACTAAGTAATGAGTAGGAACATGGTCTTTATACATTTGGTGGTTGTTGGATAATATAATTCTTACAGTATGGTTCTCCCAACCTGCAGGTGTTCCAGAAAGAAGAAATTGAACCCTTGCAGGTGAAGCAGCAAGATGTGAACTGGTTAGGTCAAGGCCTCATTCAGAGCGCAGCTGCGAACACCTGCACTCAGGGTTTGGAGCGTGACCTGGATGATGTCAACGCGCGGTGGAAAACTCTCAATAAGAAGGTAATTGCCCGGTCCCTTGAACCCCTCCGTGATTGCCCATGGTCATCTCTGGGGACTGGTAGTCGTATTTGTACTAGTAGCCGCACGTGCCCAAGCACGCTTCCCCTTTTCATGTTGCCGTACACTGAATAGCAGCAGACAGGGAACGTGAATGACAAAAGTTCATGGGTCGAGACAGGACTTTCCCTGCCATCATCTCAACTTCAGCTGCAGAGACCTGGCTGCAGACCCAGCAGGTGTGACTGTAGGCAGCCATGGTGGACGGCCCTGTGTTGAAAGAGCATTCAAGCCTCTCATACCGTGGTAGCTCCTTTGCCCCTGTGACTCACAGACTTGTAGGGATGCAGGCTCCCTCTTGTGTTAACTTCTCTTGGAGTGACGCGTGTGAACATCCATTCACCCAGATAGGCAATAACAACTGACTGAAGTGGGATTCCACTGAAGTCCACCTTTTTGAGATCAATGAGTTTGAGTTGTTTTTTTTTTTTTTT